CATATACATATACTCTCACATAGACATACACACATACACACATATACTCTCACATAGACATACACACATACACACATATACATATTCTCTCACATAGACATACACATACACACGTATACATACTCCATACACATACACACATACACACATATACATATACTCTCACATAGACATACACACATACACACATATACACACACACATATATATATATCTCATACACATGCACACACATAGATATTTTCTCACACACATACACACATACTCATATACACATACACACACATATACACACACAACATACACACACACAGACATACACACATATACATATACTCTCACATAGACATACACACATACACACATATACTCTCACACACATGCACACATATACACACATACATGTATTCTCACACACATATAAACACAAACACACATATACATAGACTCTCACACACAAATACACACACATACACACATATACATATATTCCCATATACACACATACACACACATATACACAAACACAGACACATACACATATATATACTCACACACACACATATACACATATACACACACATACCACAAGCATAGAATTTATGGTTAATATTAATAAATGATGATTAAAGCCAGCAAGAATATTATATGAGTAGTATTTGAACATTTTTAAGAAAGTGAGTGATTTTCACTCTGGTTAGGGCAAGAGGATATCAATGAGCAAAGATAAAGTTCTATGATTGCCTGAGATCTAAAAGCTCTCTAAGATGGCAGAAGAGAGAGCACGCCAGTAGGCCAACAGCCCCTACATTCTGTATAAAGTAAGCTTCCACGATGGATATGCACAGAGCTTCCACCCACGTCTTCACCCACTATCCATTCTTTTATCTAAAGTTACGCTGCAGGAATCTTTGGTGGAGATACATTCACTATACAAGCCAATGGTATTTGCTAAAAGAAATGTACTGACAAAATATGAGAAATCCAATAGAAATGCCGAAAAATCTGTGGGGGATAAGTTACACATGAAGATTAGTAAAGTACAAAAAGGAGTATGTTTGGGCTTCTTGAAGATATAACACAAAGCTGAAAAATTAGACATCAAAATCACACCAAATACCCAATGCAGAAAATGAAGAAGCTAGACACCACAGCAGTAATGCTTTCTTATTAAAAGTCTTCTGCTGACTTGGGACTTTTTCTGGATGAGCACTGCAGTCGACTACTGTGAACCTTGCTCCCTCTGATCCTCACAAAACACTCTTCTCCTGACGGAGGATTTCTTAGATTCCAGCCCCAGTGCATTACTAGCTATTTTAAACATTTCATTAAAGTGTTTTATTATTCTTTGATAATTTAATCTTAGTGAATACTAAAAAGGTATTTCTCAGTCAACGTGATGTCGATAAATACAGTAAATGTGAAGGAGTTCATGGTTTGCTATGGGCAACCCTGTTTGGAAACCATAGAGAAGGGGGCATTTTCTGCAATGGCCAGGTGAGTGTTTGTTTTCTCAGTGCCTTTGCCTCCGGTGCTAGTCTCTTCCTCTCTTACTCACTTCCATGTGTGGGCTCTGACAGTGCACTCACTGTTCCTTCTCCATCTGTGCTCACTAACTATTGCCCATCTGCTCAGGATAAGCTTCATTCAAACCAATAACTAAGAAACAAGATTCCGTGTCCTTTAGCAGGCTGAATGGACACACAGCGCCAAAGGATCCCCCCTGACCTGTGAGCCAGGCTGCTCCTCCAACAGCAGTGCTGTCCTTAAACAGTTCTCACGTGAGTGCTGGCTCCAAATGCCAGCAAACTATTCATTAGAAGAGTATAGGGTCGTTAATCCAGTCACAGTGCATCTCCTCTGCTTCTGAGCATGCAAAGCAGAGGCTCGTGAACCAGGGCAGATTCTAGAATCATCTGCACTGCCTTTTACAAATACATATGCCTGGACCTTCACTACAAGATTATGGAGTAAGATGTGTCAAGATAGAAGAAGGCCACCGCTATGTTACACAAACCACCACTATGTTACACAGACCGCCACTATGTTACACAGACCACCACTGTTATACAAACAGATCGCCACCATGTGACACAGACCACCACCATGTGACACAGACCGCCACCATGTGACACAGACCGCCACTATGTTACACAGACCGCCACTATGTTACACAGACCGCCACTATGTTACACAGACTACCACTATGTTACACAGACCACCACCATGTGACACAGACCGCCACCATGTTACACAGACCACCACCATGTGACACAGACTACCACTATGTTACACAGACCGCCATCGTGTTACACAGGCTGCCACCATGTTACACAGACAGACGGCCACTATGTTATGCGAAAGCCCACAAGAGAGCTTGAACACCTAACTATGATGTGAACAACATTTGAGAAAAAAACATTTTATAGACTAGAGGAGTAATTACCTCTATAATTCACTATCTATTTGCCATGGACATAAAGAAAAGTAATAACCTCAATTATTTTCCCCAAATTCTTAGACTGACTCCTCCACTACACTGAAAACTCTGGAGAAAAAAATAAAACATGTCTTCCTTACTTTCATGTCTCAGATCCAATGGAACCACAAATAATAAATATCAGATCAATAAATGAATATGTCTCCATAAGTGAATATCAAATCAGTTTTCTCACCAGCTGCACATAGAAAATTTTTCTGTAGAACATGAATTCCCTTATATGTAAACTCTAAATTATTTTAGAAGTCTAATACAGAGAGATAAAGAATAAAACATGGGTACCAAGTACACAAACTATCAGACACAGAGGATGGACAAGTCTAAAGAGATAATAAAAAACAGGAGGACTGTGTAGTTAATTTTTTTAATATCGATGGTTAATGAATACTGTATTCAGAATCTTTGCTGAAAATCATGTTTTCCTGTTTTACTACAAAAATAATATGGAATGAAGGATGAAGCACACATTAATTATATGAATATATATAGTTTTATATATTATATATTTAATTATATAGAGATGCGGAGAGCCTTTGAGGCTGCTTGGCAGGAATCCGACATTGGCCAAGAACAAGGAGGAAGTAAGTTCAGGCAGGAGTCTATTTTTAGGCTAAAACAGAGAACTAATTTCAGTCAGGAATCCAAGTCTTAGGCTAAAACAAAGAAGTAGGCCTCAGGCTTGAATATGACTGTGGGCTAGGACAGGGAAGTAGGATCAGATACTTTTGTCATCCTGGTGAGCCCTTAGAAACTGCGATCATGAGAGTGATCACGGGGTGATCACGGGACTCTGTATATTGCCTTGTTTGTTCCTTGACTGTTTCTATTGTATTGTTGGTTCCTCAAACTAGAACTGACCTAAATCCGTGCATGTAATTAAAAGGGTTTAAAAGAAAAGTTGAATTAAACAAACCTGCCTTCAGCCTCAGAACTGGCTGGGGTCATGCTGCAATTTTGTCTAATCGTCTCTTTTCTTTTAATCCTCACTCCTGCGCTGGAGAACCTGTTGACTGACTGAGCGGGCTTGGTCATAGAGACATTATATTATATATTATATGTACGATTATATGGAGAGACTATATATTATCTATATAATTACATAGAGGTATCATATATTAATTATATATATTATATGTAATTGTTATGTGTTAATATGTTATATATTATATATCATATATTAATTATATATATTATATGTAATTGTTATGTGTTAATATGTGTTGTATATTATAGAGAGAGACATATATATGATAAACATTAACATATGCAATAAGAGTTTTAAAAGAAGTGAAGCAAAATGGCTCACATTCGTGATTTAGTGACTTGGACTGTAATAACTGTACCTGGTACTTTTCATCTGACAAACATCTCCCCATTTTTTCTATCTTCTACCCCAGTGTACTTGGCACCCGTGTTTTGTTCTTTATCTCTGTACATTAGACTTTTGAAAATTTTTAGATTTAGACATCTAAGTTTAGAAATCTCCCCTGAAATCTCAGTGTAAATCATTGCTTTTATTTATACCCATGCCAAATAAATGGTTGGTGAGGCAGAAGAATGGCTATGACTTTGAGGCTAGCCTAGTTTAATAAATGAGACCCTACCTCAAAAAAAAAAAAAAAACTTTTAACTTCGAGGCCTATGCCTTAGGGAGAAATTAAACACCAAGATATTTACTTGACTGCTCAGAATTTCATCTTACATACCAGGTTCCAAGAAATTCTGTTTCTCCCACCTATCTCTTCTACCATGTCTGCATTTTACATCCCAATCTTGAAAAGAAATGAAACTAAGCCATGCTATATATGACAGACATAAATTTCTCAGGAAGAAATTAGGTAACTCCCAACCCTCTCACCCAGCCTTCTCCCTCCTACGTCCCTTTGGCTGAGCTGACTGCTCACCGCTGAATTCCTTCACACAGCATCTACCTCCGAGCATGTCCGAATTTCAAAGTCAGAAGGACAGTTTCTGTCTTTGCCACAAGTGACCTTCACAAAACAATTCCCTGGGCCACACACCAATGTGCAGAAAATCCTGAGCAAGAAAAGAACCGGAATTACAATTTGCAGGTTAAGGGACATCCATTGGTTGGTAATGGTACGCACACCGCATGTCTGTTACACTTGTGTTAAAATCTTCCTAACTTTGTCAGCTCTCGTTGTATGTATTCCTAATCTGTCAAAAAAAAAAAAA